AAATAGTCAGACATACAGATCTGCCTCCGTCTTTGTAAGAGCTGCATAGTTTTCCATTCTAAGGTTGTATCAATATGTATTTAATTAGTGTCCTACTAATGGACATTCAGGTTGTTTTTCAAACCATGCTGCAGTGAATAACTCTGTTCAATTGTCTTTGCACACGTGTGTGAATATTCTGGTAGAACATTCTCCTATAAAGGGAATTTCTGTGTTAGAGTAGTTGTATTTTAGACTTTTGACTGAGAAAGCCGGTATATTGTAACAGAACACAAGCCTGGAGCCAAGTGCCGGCTCTGCCACTTCCTAGTTGGGTGCACTTGGATAGGTCCATTAGCCATTCTGTGCCACAGTTTCCCCATCTGTCATGGTACCTCCGTCTTGAGGGTTGCTGTGAAAACTGGATGAGTTAATATACACAAACTGCTTGGAAGAACACCTGGTGTGCAATAAACATATAGCATGGGTCTTTAGTATAGTATATTAATTCTTTAGTTTGTCAAATTGCCCTCAAAGAGGTTAAGGTAATCTATATTCCCACCACAGTGTCTTATTTCCCTGACCCTCACCAACATTGCTTATTTTCAAACTTTTTGAAGTTTGTTAATCTGATGGGTAAAAAGGGTACCTCCTCGTGATTTTAATTTTCCTATGATCAACTCAGTTGACATTCACGGTCCTCTTCCTACTGAACCTCTTCGCAGCATTTGACATGTGAAGCCTAGACCTATTAGCTTGTCCCCGTCTCCTTGGCAAGTCTTCTCTGTTGCTTCCGGGAACACTGCACTCTACTCCTTTGGTTCTCTGCCTGCCTTTCTGCCTGGTCTTTTCCTAGCTCCTCTTCCTCCTGCCCTCCTGGCTCTCAAGACCTTCACAATATGGCTTCATCTACTTTTTTGACCTTATCTCCTACCCTTATTCCTGACTTTATTTTCTTCTAAATACATCCACGACCTGTTCTCTGAATCCTCTTGTGTTCTTTCCTGCCTCTCTTGTCTTTGCTCCTGTTCTAACTGGAATTCTATCACTTCTCCGGTTGCTGAGGAAAATACAGGATACCCAGTTAAATTTGAATTTCAGATAAACGATTGTTTCTAGTGGTTTTTATTGTTTACCTGAAAGTCAAATTCAACTGGGCATCTTGTTTTATTGCTAAATCTGTCAACTCTATCCCCAGTACTTTGTACCCTAACGCAGTTAATATATCATTGTTACTTGTGTTCATGTACGAATGAAGGCCCTGATCAGGCAAGGGCTTCGTTTTTCCTTTCTTTATATTGTATGTAGGGCTGGGCACACAGTAGTTCCTCGGGAAATATTTGCTGAATTCAATGATAATACATTTTCTTTTATTTGGGTACAGGAAAATGGCACCTTCCCTCTCATTCCTTACTTCACTCCCACCTCCAACTGTTGTTCTTGATGATTTTGAGTAACTATATATTAGTTACCTAATCTAAGCTCTCTTAGATTATGATCTTATGTGTATATATTTACACCAGTTCAAATGGACTAATTGAAATATAAAGAGGTAGTCTAGCATGGTGGCTAATGTCTCACAGATAGTCTTGGCTTCCCATTGACTAATTGTATAATATTAGTCCAGTTTTTTTCATTTATAAAATAGTAACAAGAAGTGCCTTACTATAGGCACTTGTGATTAAATCAGATGATATCCAGGTCAGGCACTTGGTATATATATATATATATATATATATATATATATATATATATATATATATATATAGTAAGGGCTCAACATATATCAGGCACTTGGTATATATATATATATATATATATATATATATATATATATAGTAAGGGCTCAACATATATTAGCTATTAGGATATTGAATATTGAAGGCTTTTCATTTAAAGATTCATTAATTTGGTCCCAAACTGTAGAAATTTTTTGATGGTAGGTCTTTTTCCTTTATTTATTGAGGTATAATTCACACATAACATTAGTTTCAGGCGTACAACATAATGATTCAATATTTGTATATATCGTGAAATGATGACCACAGTAAGTCTACTTTAACATCCGTCACCATAGTTTCAAATTTTTTTTCTTGTGATGAGAACTTTTAATATCTACTCTATTAACAACTTTCAAATATGCATCATGTTTTATGTACATGAACAGGGAACTGTGCTGGTGATGGGAATAGTAATGGGTAATATGGGTGTGGTCCCTGTTCTCATAGACCTTACAATCTAGCATGACATAACCAAGAGTTAGAAAGAAAAAAGCACAAATATGTAAATATAAACCATGAAAGACTCCATTAAGGAAAACACTGGGAGCTGTAAGAATTCACAGAAGGGGTCCTAAACTAGTTCAGAAAGTGCTTCCTTGAGAAATAATACCTGACATTTATTGAATACTCAGCATATGCCAGTGTATTCGATTGCTGGGGCTACTGTAACAAAGTACAACAGACTGAGTGGCTTAAACAACAGAAATCTCTTTTCTCAGGGCGCCTGGGTGGCTCAGTTGGTTAAGCGACTGCCTTTGGCTCAGGTCATGATCCTGGAGTCCCGGGATCGAGTCCCGCATCGGGCTCCCTGCTTGGCAGGGAGTCTGCTTCTCCCTCTGACGCTCCCCCATCTCATGCTCTCTCTGTCTCTATCTCATTCTCTCTGTCTCAAATAAATAAATAAAATCTTTAAAAAAAAAAAAAAGAAATCTATTTTCTCACAATTTTGGAGGCTAGAGGTCTGAGATCAAGGTGTAAGCAGGGTTGGTTTCTTCTGAGGCCTTTCTCCTTGACTTATAGTCATCTTCTCCCTGTTCTTCACAAGGTCTTCCTCTGTACCTAAGTCCATGTTTCCTCTTCTTATAAGGACATCCATCTTATTGGATTAGGGTCCACTCTAATGACCTCATTCTAACTTAATTATCTTTTTTTTAAAAAGATTTTATTTATGTATTTGACAGAGAGAGACACAGAGAGAGAGGGAACACAAGCAAGGGGAGTGGGAGAGAGAGAAGCAGGCTTCCCACTGAGCAGGAAGCCCGATGTGATGCAGGGCTTGACCCCAGGACCCTGGGATCATGACCTGAGTCAAAGGCAGATGTTTAACGACTGAGCCACCCAGGCGCCCCTTAATTATCTTTTTAAAGACCCTATCTCCGAATATGGTCACACTCTGAGGTACTGGGGATTAGGACTTCAAATGAATTTTGGGGGCACACAACTCAGCCCATAACAGCCATGTACTATAGTGCTTACTTGAATTATTTTACAGCAATCCTATCGTTGTTATTTTAATTTTATAGATTAAACTGATGTACAGAGAGGTCAAGCCCTGACTAAGGTCAAGCCCTAAAGTCAAGCGATACCTAGGAATCAATAGAACTGGGGCTTAAACCCAGATAACCACTCACCAAAGGCTTATGGTGCTGAAGGATGAGTTAGAGCTGGCTCAGCAAGTTTATAGGGAATAGACCAGGCAGAGGGGAGAAAGGGGGAAAGGACCTAGAGTGGAAGAGAGCTTCACACAAATAAGGGAATGAAAAAGTAGAGCTGATGAGGTTACAGAAGTGAGCCAGGGCAAATCATGGCAGTCCTTACAATCCTACAGTTAGGATTACGATTTTGGTCTTTATCCTAAGAACCATCAGAAAACATTGAAAGATGACTATACCTGCTGAATAGAGGGAATCACTGGAAGGAAATTCAAAAATCTTAGTTTTAATTTTTTTACAGTTGAGGCACCTGGGATCTACTAGCTTTTTCAGTACATTACACTCAAGCTTCTAAATCTATAATCATGATGGAGAAATATTTGTAGAGTTGGCCTCCTGCAAGTGAGAACTACTTCAAGTAGATGGGCATGTATTTGAAAGGAATGTATAGCATAGGTGAGCTGTATGCTATGCTGGGCTCCTCCGAGGGAATAGGAAGGTTGAGAATTCCAGGTCTGCCATCAGACTAAGACTTCATCTGGGTCTGTTATTTGGGCAGCCTTAAATGGAGAAATGCAGTCAGGGCCACAGCCCAGCATTAAAACTTCAGTTGTAAAGAGTACGACCAAGCAGCTTTGCCTAATACTTTTAAACAACTTTAAATTTACATGCTGTAAAACTCACCTGTTCTAAGTGTACAATGACTTTTAAAAAATTTACAGCACAATCATCACCATGATCCAATTTGGGAACATTTCCATCACACTGAAAAGATCCGTCCAATTACTTAGCAGCCAGTCGTGGCTTATTCCCACCCCAGGTCTAGTGTGTTTTACTGAACGAGATGACTTTACAGGGCCCAGATACTCTTAAAAGGAACCCAAGACTGGACTCCCAGTTAATATGAATATGGGGCATATATGTATGTTTCATCAGTGCACCAAGTATGTCCAGACTGGGTCTTTATGTAAAGAATTCCTTCATTCATCCACTGCGTGGAGCTTATTATCTAGATGAAGCAAAAGCACTAAGCCTGCGCCTCTGTACATGACAGGCATGCATCTGTGGAGGTGAGCACACACCATGTGCCAGGACGTGATGAGTAATGTGTATCCAAGACTGAAGACTACTCGGTGCCATGTGCGCCTGCGCAACTTCACGAGCGCCTAGAAACCGGTAACTGAAATCCCCTGCTCGAGACCTGTCGGTTCAGCTGTTGGGGCCCCGCCGTTTCGGACCTGAGCGCCCACCCGTGACACCCAGCGAACCCAGGCCTGGTAGGTAACCCGCCCACCCCCTCGCTCACCCTACTCAGAGCTCACAAGGAACACCGAGATCGTCGGGTCGCGCACCCCGGCCTCCAGGGAAGCCTCTCTCTCCCTTAGCCACACCCCTCATTTTCCTAGGCCGCGTCTGCTTGGTCGGTGAAGGGCTTAGTCCCGCCCCTCCGAGCTAACGCCAGCAGCCACGTACCACGTTTCTACGTGTCTGGAGCCTGAAAGCGGAAGTTACGCCAGGGACTCGCGGTCGGAGCGCCGGACCTGAAAGGATATAGGCCGCAAGAGGAAAAGGGGCGGGCAGACGGTATTGGAAGGCGCCGGAAGTGGTCGTGCTGAGGAGGGGTGGGAGAGGGGTGGGCCAGGCAGTTCACTTGGTTGTAGCTGGGCGCCTCGATAAGGCGTACATTCACTTCTTTCCGAGAGCCTGGCCCAGTGTCTCTGCCTCGGCCAACATGGATTTCAGGGAAATTCTCCTGATAGCTTCCAAAGGACAGGGTGTCAACAATGTGCCGGTAAGTACTAGCCGGGCGCTACTGTAGGAGACCCTAATCTTCAAGTTTGGAATTTGTGGCCCGTCGAACTTCCAGGCATCCGCCTGTCCTCTCCGGGAAAGATCTGGACTCCTTATTTCCTTTTCTTGGGCATGCACTCCTGGGGACTCAGGGTGAAAAGGAGCTTGGGGTGAGAGGCGGAAGCCTTCCGGAGAGTGAGTTGCCCTGGCTTAGTCACCCCTGCAACCTGGACTTTGCAGTTCGGGTGTTTTAGAGTTGCGTGAAAGCTGGTGAGTGAAACCGTGCCTGGTACATGGTGGAATCTAGCGCTAGTAGTTTCTGGCTTCGGCGTAAACTTCAGCCCAGAGGTTGGGAAGGAAGCATGTATGTTGGGGAGTTTCAGGGGTTTTAGGGACTTGGCCTGATAGCTTTTTGGCTGATTTCCCGCCTCAGATGGGGTTGAACATTGTGATTTGCCGAACAAGTTTTCTGACTTGTGGCCCCACCCACCCAGCCAACGAGATGATAAAATTATAACCTCCCAAAGGGTTAATAATACCTTTTGTATTGGGAAGAGAAGTTGAGCGGATTCCACGAAGTCCTTGGCCAGCAGAATGGGTGAGCTAGTTTCACCTTCCGTTTACTTGTGGCCTTCCAGATTTGTCTTTGTTTGAAATCTGGTTCCATTTTCTCGGTAATATTTGCCAATTCGCTAATATTCGCAGAGCGGTGTAAGACTTTTAAAATCTACATGAAGTCATGGAGGGTGCCTGGTTTGCGGGGTTGTAGCTGTTTTGCATAAACTAATCATTTCTGGATCCTCAGATGGTACCCACAGCACAGCTGTAAACCGACAAATTGCATTGTGATACCTGCGGTTTGACCAGTGAGGTGTAGAGCTCAACCAGCTCTCTGTTAAAGTCAGTTCAACTGGAATTTATTGAGCTCTCACTATGCGTTCTGCATTTCTTAGATTTTTGTGTATTTGCAGTGGTTTGGTTTGGTTTGGTTTGGTTTTTCCCACTCCTGCGCTTTTCTTCTGAGGCTGGCCCATTTTTTTTTACCCTTTTGAAAATATTAATCTGAAGATAGTAAAATAACTGGTAAATAAAACTGATATCTGTCAGTTTAATATTTATTAAATTCCCCTATATTCATCTCCCATCCCAAGTACTCTGAATAATCAGTCATTCCCCTAAGCCATGAGTCATAAGATCTGCAGGTTGAAATTAAGGGCTTAAACCTTTGAAACCTTGAACAACAGAATTCACTTTCTGCAAATACTGTAAATTTCCTGGGCAAGTCAATATTGGAGCTGGTAACCATTCATCTTTGCATAATTAGATCCATATTTTTATTCTAGATCTTCCTGAATTTCAGTGGAGGTCAAAAAATAGATAATACTAGCTTTGATGTCCAGTTAGATTCTTTAGAAGAATGAGAATCAAGTTAATCATTTCTTATTCTAAAAACCAGTAGCTGCTGGGAGAAAAACAGATATTCCTAGAGCAGAAGATTTCAAAATCTGTATTTCAGAATATGTTCATTATCTGTCAACAGATCCATGATTGAAATAACAAAGATTGGAAGCAAAAAAGACAGGTAAATTGGTGAGGTCATTTAAAATTTAATAGATGAATATAGGCATATATTTTATGAAAGCATGCTTTCCCCTGCCCCCCCCCCACAAAAAGCTAGTAAGCCTAGAAGTTTGATTTAGTTACCATTGTAATCCTTATCTTTTTACATCAGATGAAGTATATCACAAAAGAAACTATTGAGGAACAGAGCAAGATAGTAGTTAAATTTAATCCATGATCTTGCTTTCACTTGGTTCATCTAATTATTCTAAGTTACTTTATCAGCTCAAAGTAAAGCCTCTGAAAGCACACCATCAATTTTGAAATATATATTGTACAGTATAATAGATTATTGCAAAGCAGGTATCCTTGTAATCCATCATCCAAGTCAAGAAACAACATTTCAAGTCACATACACACACACACACACACACACACACACGTAAACCATCATCCAAGTCAAGAAACATTTCAAGTCACACATACACACACACCCCACCCTCCACCCCCTACACCCATGTTTGCCACAAGCTTGATTGACTGATGGTCTGAGAGCCACAGAGGCTTTGCAGTAATTGACAAGTGTATCTCCTTCCCTCTCTAGTGCTTGGTTCTTGTTTCCCGTTTAGTCTTCTTCCCCACCTTCCATTTGGATCTTATCAGAGCTGATATTCAGATTCCAGTCTTCAGAGTTCCTATGTCAGACCTTTGCTACAGAGAGGACATATGGTGACTAGCACTGATTAGCTCCAAGGGAGGCTAACAGATAAAACACCTGGACTGCCACTTTGAACTCTTTCCAGGGCATCATTTTTAAGAGGTATCTATTGTATCTGGTTTGAGAAACAATGAACATTTCTGTAATGCAACCTCTTTCTTTCCTGTTCTTTTTAGGAAAAATAGTTATCTTTATAATGTTTTAGTTAAAACAAAGGAAGTATTGCATCATGCCTAGCAATATTAGGCATGCTATCATTTCCCAATGGAAAACTGAATTTAAAAAACAGCTGATCAGGGTGATGTAACCAGTTATTGTCTCAGGCTCTGTTTAAATTTAAAGGAGAAAAGATATTTTTGGTAATCATGACTTAAATTTTTTCTCCCTGGTTCCTCTAGCAAAAACAAAGTTTCTTGTTTTGACAGAATGGTAGAGCTTGGAATATGGATTCTTGTAGGTTGCAAGTACCTATAATTGATGGCTTGTAGTGCATGAGACAAGTTATGTGGTCTTTCTCACAGCCATACTCTGAAAATCATCCCAGACAAGATACTGTAGTTCTGGTGTGACCCTCAAACCAAAAAGTAAAGAAGAAGCCTTCATGTGGTACTAGACATAAGGATTTGGGGGTGATAAGCCTTTGAGGATAAGAATATAGGTACTGAGGGGCGCCTGGGTGGCTCAGTTGATTAAGAGTCTGACTCTTGATTTCAGCTCAAGTCATGATCTCAGGGTCCTGGGACTGAGCCCCGCATCAGGCTTTGTGCTGGGCATGGAGCCTCCTTAAGATTCTCCATCCCTCTGTCCCTCCCCCCTCCCTCCCTCTCTCCGTGTCTCCCTCCCTCTCTCTCCCTCTCCCTTCCCCTCCCCGCCAAAAAAGAATATAGGTACTGAAAAAGGAGCTTAGGGACTCTAACTGGGGTGGCAAATTCAGATGTCTTCAGGGCCAGGTAGGTAATGTAAGTTCTTGAAGTAGTCTGGATATAAAATGATATGGGCCAAGCTCTTTGTATTCAAAAGAAGCCTACCGTGTGTTATAGTAGTTATATTTCCTTTTTTTTTTTTTTTTTTTTTTTAAGATTTTATTTATTTGAGAGAGAGCACGAGCAGGAGGAGGGGCAGAGGGAGAAGCAGGCTCTCAGCTGAGCAGGGAGCCCGATGCAGGACTCTGGGATCATGACCTGAGCGGAAGGCAGATGCTTAACCAACTGAGCCACCCAGGTGCCCCTATTTCCTTTTAAAGAACAGTAGGAGCCAACAAAATTGTTTCTGCAGGCAGTCACTTTGTAACTTTTGGTCTGTAATCAATTATAATGGGATTGCTCCCCATGCTTACATCTAAAGATGACTTTGCCAGGGCCTGAAGTAGCTTTGGATTGCTAGCCTAGAGCAGTACTTCTTCTTCTTTTTTTTTTTTTTTTAAGATTTTATTTATTTATTTGTTAACCAGTGTTTTAGGGAGAAGATCTTTTTTTAGAAAAGCTACCCCTGCAGAGATTCTGTTATTTCTCTTCCCCATCACTACCTAAGAGAATCTCTTTCTGAATAATAATGATAACAAAAATAATTAACATTTATAATGCTTACTTGGTGCCATGCACTACTCTAAGCACTTTGTGTATATTAATTAATTTAATCACTGTAATGACCATATAAGGAAGGTTGTTTTACGGATGTGGAAACTGAGGCCCAGAGAGATGAAGAAACTTGCTTAAAGTCATACAGCTAATACCTGACAAGGCTACTAATGGCAGAGCAGAGAATTTGCCGACTGGCTCCAGAGTTCTTACTCTTAATCATGATCCTGTGTTAAATGAGGAGTATATTGGATGTGAGGATGGTTGTCATCTATAAAGCCTAAACCCATCCAGCTTCCTACCCTCAACTCCAGCCTAATATAGCTTTAGACAATAACTCTTGGTTTTTTATGGCATTTCTCCTCAAGTCTGATGGGAGAGAAATTTAAAGGGCAAACCAACAGAATTTGGAAACTGGTGGGTAGAGAGAGATTTACAGCCTGTTTGGGAGAGTGCCAGCATGGTTAACAGAAATAGTCTGAGGGTGAAGGAAGATAGAAAATTAAGTAGTGGACCTGTTTGAGGTCTTGGCACCGTCCAAGAGGCAGATGGAAATTAGGGAAGGGCATTTAAGATTGTGGTTAGAGCTGGATGAAAGTGTTGGGATTAAGTTAGAAGTGAGACATGTAGTGGGAATACTTTTGGACCTGAAACAGGAGACCTAGATTCTAATTCACACTCTGTTACAAACTCTGTGAGTGACAACCAGTAAATACACAATTGTGCTTTTGGGGCCACTTCTAACATAGAAGAGGCTCTGAGGTACCTATCTGATACTACATTTTATAATCAGGTATATTTTTATAGACACAGTAATAGTAAATTTTACTATTTGATCCTATAGCATCCTGAATAACATGCTTGTTTTATTTTTACCCTCTTAGCCACCCAGCTAAGCAAACCTAATGCAAACCATTCATTTTCTAGGCCTGTATTTATTCCCTGTGATGTTTTTTGTTTTTTGTTTTTAAGATTTTATTTATTTATTTGAGAGAGAGAGAATGAGAGAGAGCGAGTACATGAGAGGGGGGAGGGTCAGAGGGAGAAGCAGACTCCCTGCCGAGCAGGGAGCCCGATGCGGGACTCGATCCAGGGACTCCAGGATCATGACCTGAGCCGAAGGCAGTCGCTTAACCAACTGAGCCA